TGAGCAAGGTATTAAAAATCTGACCTGTCAACACCTAGTAATCAATGGGAAATAAATGCAAAATTGAGAATAATTCCTTATTTCTGAATCATTATATCATTCACCAAAAGAATGTAAGAGAATCAGGTTTGGGAAGAAGTAGTGAATTCAGTTTTGGATGTACAGAGTTTAAAGTGCCTGTGAAGCATCCAAGTCTCTATGTTGAACAGATAAATGGACATACGTACAGACCTAAAATGCACAAGGGAGGTTTGGTTAGGAACACAAACTTGTGAATCATAAGTATGTAGGCAGCAGAGGAAGACAAACTAGCAGACACGACCATCCAGGAAGGGTGAACAGTTAGAAGAGGGCCAAGTACAGACCTTGCCAACACTGATATTTAAGGAGTAGAAAGAAAAGAAAACAAAGAATGCAGATAGGAATGAGAGTAGTCCAAAGCAGCTTGTCTCAGGAAGGCAGAGATTCTGAAAATCATGAGCAGAAGCCAATAGTGACGAACTATAAAATGGCTGATGATTACTGAACACTGACTTTGTGGCAGACATTTTCTAAGAGTTTTTTTTAATACAGAAACCCATTTAATCTTTTAAAAAAATGATATAAGGCAGTTTTTACTGTCATCCTATTTTATAGATGAAGAAATGTAGGCACAGACGAGTTAAAGAGTGCACTCAAGATCAACACGACAGTGAGGAGCTGAGCCAAGATCTGGACACAGGCAGTGTGGTTCTAGAGCCTACACTCTTACCACTCAGAAGAGAGAAAGAAGTCCAGCAAGTTAAGGACTGAAGAACATTTGAGTGCAGCTTCAGCTGGAGCGCAGACTAAAATGCACATGCAGTATGGCTGAGGGGGGCATCAGCAAATTTATACCCCCTGCCTTTTCACGTGACATACAATAATGCAAAAAGCACATTTCTCCACCCTACTTTAGTCAGGCTCAATTAGTCTCTGAGGGGAGGGCCAGAGGTAATCCTTAGAAAAATTAAAGTTGGACAAGCACCTACCAAATGTTCTCAAAATAGTTCTCACTTTAAAAGGCTTTTAAGAATCCACATGATAGATAGGACCTAGACACCTTTTATAAAGAAAGCTCACCCTTTTGATGCACACCTAAGGTTAAGGATACTAATCTAGTTCCAGATTATTGAAAAAGAACCATTTGCTAAAGGACAAACTGATATTGTACAGGCTTTGGGCTAATACAAAGCAAAACAGTGAGCTACTTTTGTAGTAGAGCAAATATGTCTCCCAAATAACGAACATACTTTTAACTAAGTTTATAAATTCATTTTATACTGAATTTGATTTTATTTATATCTTCCTCATAACATTGGGTTATCAAAAATGTCTATCCCTCGTCACATCCTGGTTAATAATTAACTGTAAATTTACAAGTGTGGAGGTGAAAAGTTGAAGCGGTTCATATCCAAGCTCCCCAACTTTCTTGGTAAAGGTGAGATCATCCTATTTTACTGGAGCTGCATTGAATAGGAGGTTGAAAATGGTAGTGAAGGTGTGAAAGAACTTTGCATGGAGTAAGTTAAGGATATTTGAAATTCTGGTGTGTATGTCTGTGTGCATTCAATTGCATATGTAGTTCTCTCAATCATGACTCATTTACTTTTATTAATAATATTATAGTACTTATTATTTGATTATTGTAAGTCACCTCTATCAAATGGCTAATTAGAAAAAGAAGGAATTGGAGGCTAGAAAGTACAGGAGGGGGTAGGGGAAAGCATATGTAAAATAGATTTTTTCATTTTTTAAAAGCAATGACCCTCTCCCCTTCCACCCTCCAACCCCCCGCAAAAAAACCCCACCAATGCTTATATGTATGCACCGCATAACATTATCCAAACATGGAAAAATATGTGTCCACAATGGTTAACACCAGTGCCTCCAGTACTGGCTGGGGAATAGGGATATAAAGTAGGTAAGAATAAAAACACCAGCAAAACAGAAACAGATCTATGGTATAATGTTAAGTGAAACTAATAAAATAAACATGAACAAGGGCAAGTCAACATGAATTATTTCATTCATTCAGCAAAAATTTGTTCAATGAAAACATACTGAAATGATTAGGTGGATGCATTGTGAGCAATTTCTAACTTGGTTTGCTATAACTTTGATATGGTTTTTAGAATAAACTAAAAGAAAAGCAGATGAAAGAATAGAACTACAGATATTTGCACAGTGATCTTGTAACTACAATACTTTTGTGTCTGCAAAGGAGGTATATAAATTGGGCCATCACATACTGTGGACTGAATTGTGTCTCCCACCCCCAAATTCATTTGTTGAAGCTCTTACCCCCAAATGTGACTGTATTTGGAGACAGGACCTTTAAAGAGATAATTAAGATTAAATGAGGTCATAAGGGTGGGGCACTAATCCAGTATGACTGGTGTCCTTATAAGAAGAGGAGAGGAAGAGACATCAGAGATGCACACATGCACAGAGAAAAGGTCATGTGAGGACAAAGTGAGAAGGCTACTTTCTGCAAGCCAAAAAGAGAGGCCTCAGGAGAAACTAAACCTGCCAACATCTTGATCTTGGACTTCCAGCCTCTAGAACTGTGAGAAAATAAACTTATGTTTTTAAAGCCGTCCAGTCTGTGGTATTTATTATGGCAGTCCTAGCAGAAAAATACACATGCTTTGGATGAGGTTATCATTGGCACAACAAATAATATTTAATCTGTTTAACAATGTAAAGTAAATTAAAAAAAAATGATTACACAACTGTATCCCTACTTACTCTTCCCAAGTATGCTGTGTGATTGTACTTCAGAGGGAGGACAATAGGACTCAGAAGCCAAAGTCAACAATTCTGAATCATAAAACAAAGACACTGAACTTCTGGAGAATTAGATATAGGAGGAGAGAATCCACCTTAGTCTCAATAAATCTAAGCAAAATAATTTTTAGTCACTTCTTTGAAATTGCCAGTGAGGGAAATAATGAAAAGTTTCCAAGAAATGAGGGTTCAAAAGTAAACAGAAATTAAACATCAATTTAAGGTACATAAAATGCTACTGATAGTTTTATTTAGTGCTGTAGTTCTCAACCTTCAGCAGATATCAGAATCTTCTGAAGGACTTGTTGAAACTTGTTAACTCTTCAAGTTTTAACATGTGTTAGTCAGTAGTTCTGATATGGGGCTCAAGAATTTTCAGTTCTAACATGTCCCCAGATGCTGCTGAAAAGCTGCTTGTCTGGAGACCACACTTTGAGAACTACTTATTTAATGTATTTAGTGTATTGTATTTTAACGAATCTGCAAAGTATTATGGGATCTCACAGGTTCACTCATGGCTACAGTCTCCTTATACAAGATGTTTGTAACAAGTTCCTAAAAATCTTCTCTATCTGTTTGAATTCTACCCTAAATTATGTCAAAATGTAATTTTGGGGGTGTGGGAAGGGAGTACTATAGTAATCAAAATGAGAGTCATTAAATCAAAGTGAAATCTGCCATGGACAACAGTTCTATGAGGTTTCAATTTTTAAATTACTAGCCATAAGTTATATTTAATCCAGTAAATAATGTTAAGAAAATTTCACTAACCTAAATCTTAAGAGTAGATTAAAAGCTGATATAAAAACAAGCTGTTTCCCTAGGTCTTGAAAAAGGTCCCTTTTTAAAATAAGGACTGCAGATTCATAACTAGGAATGAATAAACTGGCTTTTAAGTACAGAGTAAATATGATAATAATACTTACCTGGATGTGCCTTGTAAAAGGAGTAATTTCCATATGGTGTTTAGCAGTTTGTGTCTCAGTGGTCAATTATACACATAAACACAAACAACTTTACCATTATGGTAGAATATCATAAAATACTGAAGATACTTTATAAATGCTTTGATGATACATATGAAGTTTCTAAACTTGCAATAGGACTTGAAAACCGATGCAGAGCACTAGTTCTGCTCAGTAGAGAGCTTGAAATCTAAACCAAAACACATTCTGATGGCTATAATATGCAAAATCTAACTTTACAACAGAAATAGTACCAATTCTTTGTCATTAATACCTTAGCAGTATATTGATACCTTTATAAGCAGTATTATATAACAGTTTAATATTTTCTTGTTCCTCTTCCACCCAGCATCTTTTATGAGAGGCACTTATGAAGAGCACTAGCTTTGGCGACGCTATAAGAAACATACACATAGTATAATGATATATTTTACTACACTAACAAAGTATCACTTATAAAGAATTTTTATAAATTCAAAAATAGGTTGTTGGTAACAATGATTACCTTTAAAGCATTGAATTTCATTCACAATATTACTTCATTAATCTTAAACAGCAGTTCCATCTACAAAATGTTCTACAGCTTTTTCCTTTTTGAAAAGGAGGTAAATAAATGCAGGTAAGATACTCATAACTTCTAGTTCAACAATATCAACTTCATTTCACAGCACTGATTAGTAGAGAACATTTTCAAATAAAGTAGTATACAATTTACAAAAATAGAACGATTATATAATGCAAACACTGTCCTCCATTATGAAGAATATGTGTGTGTATACATGTGTGTATGTATGTATATATACATATACATATTTCTTATAAGTTTCACTATTAAATAGCCCTTATTCAAGTACTTTTTTTCTGTTATCTCTTGAAATAATCACCTTGCTATATTATATGTAAATACATAAAAAAATAAAAGGTTAATCTAAGAAAAGGTTAAAAGTTTCAGTGTGGTTGACTTAAATATCAGCCGCTCACTTCAGTGAAAACCTGATTTGAATTCAGAACAGGTTTAGGTGCCACACTAAGTTTAACAACTTAGTCAAAAATACAGATATATTTAAGTGTCAAGTACTCAGTAAATTTCTAATGTGCTAACATTAGAGCAAAATTAAAAGTGTGTATTAATCTATTTATCACCCAATCTTAAACAATCCCCAGACAAAATTCATTTATATAACTAAAAAAATACACTAATATATAATATACCTGCTTACAAACACATAGGTAGCCATAAATAAAACTTTATTCTTTAATTTCATTTACAAGCTACCAAATATTATGTATTGTACACAGTGCTGAACACTTAAATGGCTGTAGTCATGGAGGATCCAGACTGAATGGAAAGCTGTAGATAAAGAAAAGATAAAAGCAAAGTAATACTGTAAAGACAAGTGGCAAAAGCATGGTTTTGCCATAATAAAATCAACTGGATTTGTAATTATACATCAGTTCTGGTTAAAACAAAGTCTGAGCGCCATGCGATTCTCAGCTTTGTTTGCAGTCTGGCTAAAGTCTGTAGAGTCCTTTTGTCTTCTGCAGTGATTAAAATAAAAAGTTAAAAACTATAGCAGCAACAAGCAAACCCTGTAACAGGAAGGCAAGGGTTAAGAACTAAAATAAAGTTTATACAGTGTGTTTAGGGAAAGTATGTGCAGTTTATCTTCCATCAGCAGGAGTCCGACTGAGGGACAACATGATTCGGGCAAATCGCTCACAGAGTTCATGCGTGGAGTACGGAGGTAACTTCGGCGGCTCATGGAAACCTTTAATCTCCGTAGAACAATCAAGCAGTTTTGGCAGAAAATCTGTCAGCTTCTCTTGGAGGTTTGCTGCAAATATAAACAATTAGATGTAACTAAAGATCGACAGGGAGAGAAATTATCTTCAACAAGATTTATTAATTTGGAGTGGTCAGTTGATGTTTCATTTCAAAACATGTAAAATCATTACCATTTGGGGGGAAGAAGTAAAACATAAATGGCAACAGTAGTGTGCACAGCTTAGTTTGTAAATAAGAAAAAAAACTGATGCGAATATAAACATGTTACAGAATATAAAAAATGATAATAACTAATATCTAATTCTAACTGCTTTTAATCCCAACACCCCAGGTGTCCACCTGCATTGTTTAAACTTACATTCCATTTCTTGTCCAAGATAGGAACACCATCGATTTCTCATATCTTCCACAGCAAGTATATCTTTCTCTTCCATTTCATCCACCAATAACAAGGGCAAAAATGGGACAATAAACTCATTCATGATAATCAGACCATTGTTTACTTCTCGATCCTCTCCAGATTCAAACAGTTCTGCAGCCTGCTCATTTAATTTCTTAACGCAATGAAAAAAAGAACAACAGGTTTGTTTCCTTTTTTAATTAAATAAAAATGTAAGTGTTAATACTGAAGGCAACATAACAAGCATGTTCGCAGACAGTATTAGAACAAATGGAAGTCACAAAATGCAACCTCAACCTATTGAGCAAGAAAAGTCTCTTAGAAAAGGCTATGCATATAACAACAGAAACAAAATCAAAAAAGAAGTGGGAGAAATAACGTTGCCATGTTTTTAAAGCTTAAGTTCAGTTTATTTTACTTTGATCATCACTATAGGGACCATTTTAAAATTTGTTCTCCAGGGGTGAATTTCCCCCTATTCTAAAATTTGACAAGCACTCAAGGTAATTTTAAAAACGAAGAAATTTTTGAAAAACTCATCATCTTTTCCATAAATGTCAACTCAACAGGGACTGTTATATTTCTTGATACAAAAATATAAAGGTAATCCATTTAGTTCATTTATTCCTTCAAAAAATTCTTACTCAGTACATGCCATGTGCCAGAAACTGTTCTAGATGCAGGGGTACCCAAGTGATTAATACAGAAAACTCTCATGGAGCTTACAATCCCTTACAGTACAGGGATCAGTAAACTTTTTCTGTAAAGGACAAGATAGGAAATATCTTAGGCTTCGAGGGCTATATCGTTTTCGTTGCAATGACTGATCTCTGCCGTTGCTGCACAAAGGCAGCCATATGTAAATGAATGAGCATGCCTATGTTTCAATAAAACTTTATTTATAAAAACAAGTGGTAGGCTGGAGCACAGGCCAAGTGTGCTGACATCTAATTGAGTAGAAGAGAGAAATCCATGTGATAAGAAACAGAGACATAGGAGACAGATAAAAAGGTACAGGTATAATAAGACGTTTATGTCTGAAGTCTTATGTTTACAGAATGATAAATATGATTTTTAAATAGTTTTAAGCTGAACTTCAAATACAAAAATTTAATTATTTCTTATGGTTATGCTATGTCATTCTTGTGCAATTTATCTTGATTTTGTAGAGAGGCTTATGCTGAAAGTCCAATCCAGCCACTAAGCAAATTATTTAACCTTCAGCAAACAAGTACCTTCCTAGCTTCAGCGTCTTTATATGAAAAATGAGATATTACTACCTTCCTTACACAGTGGTTAAGAGGATTAAATGAGGTAAGCCTTTAAGTATCTAGTGTAATTTTTATAATTTGCATTCAAAGACATATAATTATTCTGAAATTCGATGTTAAGTTCACTAAATCAAAACATATCCTAGAAACAACTCAAACATAGTATGTCCAAAGCCAACTTTATTCATTCTCTTAAGAGTCCCGAAAGCCAAAGACAGAACTAGTAAGTCAGGCAGCCTTAATGCTTCTATTTCCTTCTTCCCACTCATCTAATAGTTACCAAGTCCTTGATTTCATTTCCTTTACCATCTTATATACCCTCTCTTTCATATTCATTGTACTTCTGCCTTAGTTGAGGCTCTCGCCCTCTCTTCCCTGTCTATCTCCTCTAGCGTTCTTCATTTCAATCTTTACTCCTTTCCAGTTCATCTTCTAGTATACGACTGCCAGAATGATTTTCCAAAACCTGATCAAGCCAAACTTACACCAACTTTACAATGGTACCAATGCATTAGAATGGTGCATAAGCTTCTTCACAGTCTAACAACAAATCCTGTTGGCTTCATCACTTCCACCTAACCCTGTTCCTCATAACTTAGCCACAATGGATTTATCTTCATTTTCTGTTGTATACTTCCCATGCCTTTTCATATGATATTCCTTTGTCTGGAATGTTTTTCTCTCTTCTCTACAAGGCATTAAACTCTTATTTATCCATCAAGATCCAGATCAGTGTTTATTTTATCTCTTAAGCTTCTCCCCAACAATTCCAGGCATATTATTTTGCATATTTCTCATAATAATACTTATTCTGAAATATAAAAATTATCTGTGTACATCACTCACCAGATTGAATTCTCTTAGGATAAATAATAGGTCTTATTTATCTTTGCATCCCTCAGAATCTGACACTCAGTAAATACTCAATGTAAAAAAAAAGAAAAACCTTAAAGGAACACTAAAATAATCCTCCTGAGGTTTTATTTAAATCCCTATGTGAAACAACAAAGTGTGGCTGGTTTACTAACCTAAAATGATAAAAGAAACACATTCTACCATTTTATAGATGTCTTAGAATAACCATCAAGTTTTTTTGGTTGTATTTATGTTTAAAACAGTTTTACCAAAATATTTCAATATCCCAACACTGTAACGTTTTTACATTAAAAATTGCTTTAACTCATTCAATGCAAAATTTTATATAATTATATAAAACTGTACTTTTTTAAACTGAAATATATATAATTCAGGTCTTCCTTCTCAGGGGTTGATTAAAAACCTTTTGAAACTGACCAAATTAAGAATACCATCCTTAATGGATACAAACCATCAACAATTCAAGTCTTAAAATACACTCAAATGCAGCAAAATCAGCTAAGAGAAAAATAACAAGATCACAAGCCTCTAATATTCACATTCAAAAATTCCAAAAACATACCGCAGACTACAATTAACATATACTATGTAGTTCTACTGAAAGAAAACATTTCACCAGTACACCTACTTAAAGTTTTTTAAAGTACACATAAACCAAGTAACCTATATAGATTCAAAAATCATACTCTTGAATACCTTTATATATTTTATAGAAAAAAACTGCAACTTAGAAGTTCACAATCTATAGTCATGTTAATAGCTAAATAAAATCTAATCAGAAATAAGTATAAAGATGGAATTTGTAATTTTATACATAACGGTTAGCTGACTCAAGAAACATTAACAAAGTACTCCAGGTATCTAGAGAGTAAACTGGTAGGGGAAAAAAAAAACTTGCTAAAAAGATTTCTTAAAGTTTGTAACAACAATAATATTTCAGCACATAGATAGTAAAAATATTTGAGGAAAAAAATTCCATTGACTAGGTGAAAAAAACGATATTATACTACAATGAATCCTTTAACATTATGTACACCAAATATACTATTTATAAAAACTCAGAAAAATCTATTTTTTCTGGAATAATAATGATGATAATTCATCATTTAGGCCCTCTTCTGTCATCAAAAGAGGGAATGGCAGAATGAGAAGAAATCTAAATATAAAAATGTAATTATTCTGATCTCATTTTAAGAACATTTCTGGTTCATCATCTGTAAAACTTAAGATCCTTAAAGAAGAAGGGATAAAGAATTGAGTGTATTTTCCCACCTCAAGGGAATAGACTCAGATTATAGACATCATCATGACACCCCATCAGAATTAATAGTCAATCACTTATATATGAGTCTGGATAACTGCCCCAATGTAAGACAAAATGATAAAGTAAACACATACTATGTACATTCAACTTACTAGTAAACATTCTCTTCTATAATGTGATATCAATTCTTCATCATGTCCTCTGTATGGGCCTTTGGACAAGAGTTCTTTGTTATTCTGATAAGCACAGATAAGGAACAGCAAGGAATCTATATAACTTAAAAAAAAAAGTATAGCATTACTATTTTATCTTTGTAAAAAAAGGTCAATTACAATTTTAAAGCATTTTAAGTATACATTTAAATTTTGATTATCCAGAACAACATTAAAATAAAAAGTATCATCTGATGATACACTGTACGCCTGAAGGCATCTTTTGAGTAACAGCCACATCTGAAACCAGCAGATAGTTGTCTTAAAAGTAAAACAAACAAAAAACAGAGCTAGGAATTAAGAAAAAACTGAGAAAAAGGCCATAATTGATGAATTCAGAGTTCCTTCTGTCTTCCTTGGTATTTATTTCCATTTAGACTCAAAATTAACACTGATGTGAAAGTCAACGATCTGCTTTTTTTTTTTTTTTTTTTTTTTTTTTTGCGGTACGCGGGCCTCTCACTGCCGCTGCCTCCCCCGTTGCGGAGTACAGTCTCCAGATGCGCAGGCTCAGCTGCCATGGCTCACGGGCCCAGCCGCTCCGTGGCATGTGGGATCTTCCCGGACCGGGGCACGAACCCGCGTCCCCTGCATCGGCAGGCAGACTCTCAGCCACTGTGCCACCAGGGAAGCCCAACGATCTACTTTTTAAACAACATAATGTCATTTTTGTTTGAGGGAAGGATCAGATTACTTTGTTCCTTTATAACGAATAGCACTCGATTCATTCAGTGACTCTTTTTTAGTCAGGTTTTTTTCTATGTGAGGGCACAGTTCTACTCATTGAGAAAAATGTAAGAGGGGAGAATATCCAAAGGAGATGGGTGAAGTAGAAGGGAAAAAATGCTTCTAAATCTGGGAAATCTAGTGCGATACAAACAGACAAAAGAAAACACTAACATAAAAGGCAGGCAGGGTTAGGCCTTTGTTTTATAGTTAATATTAATATGTTATTGATATAAGTCTAGACCTTAAGAAGTTCAAACTAGGGGCTTCCCTGGTGGCGCAGTGGTTGAGAGTCCGCCTGCCGATGCAGGAGACACGGGTTCATGCCCCGGTCTGGGAAGATCCCACATGCCGCAGAACCTGCGCGTCCGGAGCCTGTGCTCTGCAACGGGAGAGGCCACAACAGTGAGAGGCCCGCGTACAGCAAAAAAAAACCAAAAAAAAACAGAAGTTCAAACTAGGTTTTAAAAAGGGAATACGGGAAAAATGTTTGAGTACTATATTTGTCTCTAAAATGATTATTCTTCTCCTAACATGCTGTAGGAAAAAATATATACAGCTACATATTTGTATAACTGAAATATGAAAGATATTTTAAGATATTTCCTATGTGTCAGATTTTCCAATCATAATGTATCTTCTCACAAATTCAGAAAAATGCAACATCCTAAAAAGTGAAATACTGTACAGAAACAATGTTTACTGCCAATCAGTGTTACTGTTTATTAATTTCAGGTGCTCAGAAACAAGTCTATAGTCCAAATGTTAAATGTAGAATTATGTGGAAATTAATGTACACATTCATAACAAATCAAATTACACACCTGAAACTACTTCATAAAAAATAAGTTCTTTTAAGTTATGTTTTGAAAACAGCTTTTCCGAGGAATTTGTTTTTGAGAAAACTTAGGGTATGAAATCTTATTTTGAAATAATATGGGTATAGTCTCAGCTAAAGCTTTTTTTGTTTAAAGAGTGATAATAATATTAAATGTTGTTTTACGTCACTAAGTTGAATTAGTTTGCTGGCACATCTACCTTCCCTATTATAGCTATTAAGTTTCCTGTTGAAAGGTCTCCCCTGAATGACATCCATATCTGGCTTTCTAGACCTGAGTCATCGCTCTGAGAATAGCTCTGAAACTATGAACATGTTCCAATTTTCTAGTGAAGTACACAAAACGTTCTACATTTTATCAACGTTTAAAGTGCTTACATTTCAAGTAATCAGAATAAAATTCAGCAGTCCAGTTACCAAATTCTTATTTAAGATAAAATAAGACTATGTAGCCTGATAGATTCTCTTTATCTTCCATTTTTACTGCTGTAAAATTATGGTTCCTAAAAACATGATTTCATTTCACTACTCAGAGAAGTAATAATGACCCATCAATAAATAATTCAATTTATGGCTTTCAAGTGCTAAGTTTTCATTAAAAACAAGTTTGACAGAACCTTTTGGCAATGTTTTATACACTGCTAGTAACGGTAACCGCTATATTTAAAGTGGTAAAATTAACATTTCTTTTTACAATATTCCATAAATATTATTTGTCACCATTACTAATTTTCTAGCTGACCTTTCACATTTGCTATGCTAAGAATATTCACTTTACCAACAAGAACATATTTAAGAATAAGCAAATTATGAAATTTAAACGTAATTCCAAGTTATACTTAAAGTCCTTTAACAAATGTTAACTCAGAAAAGCTAATGTAGAAGCTATGCAGAGAGCAAGAAAATGACAGGTTCATCTTGTTAATTCTTATTGAGATAATGAATACATTTTGTCCTTTTCTGATTTCATTAAATTATACAAGAATACAGAGGTCTCTATTTCAATTTTTCTCTCCCTAGTTAGTCATGTGACCTTGACAAAGTTATTGCAGCACTGTGGAGCCCAGTTTCTTTACCTATAAAATGGAAATACCTTTTAGATACTCTATTCAATTGTAAGACCATATTAATATTTTTCTCAGAAAACTTAATCTCCAAAATCCTAAAGCTAATTAGAATATCCCTATTAAATAAAACTTTGACCAAAATATTAATAAAATAGAGCTACTGATCAAAACAGTTTTCTACTTCAGTAACCAAAGTAAATTATCTTAAAAGTACACAATCACTAGGACTTTAATAATTTGTATCCAAGTATTAACATTACTTTTTACTTTTGTGTGATAACTTTTAAGATTGTGATAAGTGTAAGAATGATGGCATTGTGTACTGTCCAACGAACAGAGCAGCACTGTCCAACAGAACTTCCTGCAATAATGGAAGTGGTGTATCTGTGCTGGCCAGAACAGTAGCCACTAGTCACGCGTAACTACTGAACATTCAAAATGTGGCTAGTATGATTGAGAAACCGAATTCTTAGCTTTAAAAATTTTAATTAATTTATATTTAAATTTTTGCATGCGGCTGGTGGCCACCATGTTGGACAGCATAGCTCTAGAAGTAATGTTGCATGTTGGCATTTAAAAAAAACAACATTATTACCTCAAGTGGAGGTTTCTTATACTTTACAGAATAAAAAATAAAAGGAAAAAAAAGAAAGAAATCAATATCCCTTTTACTTGGCGGCAGTATTACAGTGTATTTTAAATATAGCACATAAAAAAATCCTTAGTCAAGTAAATTAATGTTAAAGGCTATGAATTGAGAAATACATGTGTAATAAGTAAATACACATTAATGAATAATCTATAATGGTCAATAAATCAATATGTATCCTTTTCTTCTCGGTAACATGATTGCAATTTAAAAAGCAGAAATTCCTTTAAAACCATCTGTAATTTGTATGAGAAGTAATCTAAAATATTTACAGTCGCAGTATTTAGAAGACAAGTGATTAGTTTTCTACAGCTATATTTTTTATAGTACCTCGAAGTTCAGAGAAAGAGACAGATTAGAAACACTATCTCTAATTTGAAGTCAAGATTAAACTCAGAAAGAACAGGAAAAAGGCTAGTGACTGGAAGGTAGATGTTGAAGAATACAAAGAATTCCATTTGCTGGGCTACCAGCTTCTTCGGTCCCCAGCAAACTTCTAGGCTTCAGTCTAATCCTATTCCATTCTAAGTTTCAATTGTAGTGTTTGAGAGCTGATAAAAACAATGACAATAATGCCAGCTTTACAGATTTAGCTTAAAATGGAAAATATATTGTATGTGGGGTATATGGGAACTCTTTGTATTAATTTTGCAATTTCTCTGTAAATCTAAGACTGTTCTAAAATAAAACATTTATTGAAAATATACACTGTGAAAAAAACCTTTTCTATAGATGAGGTCACATCTGAATAGAATACAAAAATTAAGCTCTCCTTTTCATGTGTGTCCATCTTGCCTTACCTTTCTCTTTGAAAATTTTCTAGTCCAATTATGAGATACATGGTTGTTTCCCTGAATTTTCTATAATCCTGATGCCATTCCTGTAGGTGAAAGAAAATAGTAAAAGTATATAGATATTAAAACTACAATGAAAACTGCTTATAAATACATTGTTTTGATAACTGTTTGAATTAACAGAAGCAAAGAGTTCATAATTAAAGATAAACTAGACCTAAATCAAGACTTTACTGTCTTACATACAAAACTATTTATCGGTATAATAATAAATGTAAAAATTATTAGACATTGATGAGAAATTAAACAACAATGACTCACTAGAAGAAAACAGAAATACAAAGGCAAGATAATCAGTCAGGTAGGTCATCTCTCTCTCTCAAAAATTCTTCATTGTAAAATTTTATTATTAAGATATCATTATAGAATATTTGGGGTGCATGTATCTTTTCAAATTAGTGTTTTCATTTTTTCCAGACATATACAGAGGAGTGAATTGCTGGATTATATTGATGGTTCTATTTTCATTTTTTTGAGGAACCTCCATACTGTTACCCATGGGGAGAGGGAAAGGAGGAGTGCGATAGGGGTACAGGATTACAAAATGCAAACTACTATGTATAAAATAGATAAGCAGCAAGGATATATTGTATAGCACAGGGAATTATAGCTATTATCTTGTAATAACTTTTAATGGAGTATAATCTGTAAACATACTGAACCTATGCTGTACACGTGAAACTAATATAACGTAAAGCAAATACACTTAAATTTAAAAAGTATTATTATAGATCTACATCACATTGAAGGTAGAAGGTAAATGAAGCTAACTCCTCTAATAGGAAGCAAAGCTTGAAGACTGTTATTTGAAGCACAGTTTTAAGAAACTGAAAGAAAAAAAAATGTTACATCATAATAAAATTATTTAACCTTTTAATTTTCCCAAATTTGTGTTAAATTTTAAATGTGGTTGCTGAATACTCTTTTCAGCTGAGCTATGGTGAAAAAGATAGATGCATTTCACATTTCAACAGCCTCTCCCTCCAAAACAACTCACAATTATTAGGCATGTAATGTGACTAAATGATTCAGAACTCACAACTTATAACTCTAGAAAATGACTTAAAAAAATAAAATCAAGATTTTTTTCTTAATAAAAATTGATTCAAGGAAAATCATAACTAAAATTCAATATAGGACTAACCTAAAGGAGATAGTGATGATAGAAGTGTGAAAGCTTTTATATACATATTATTATAAGTAAATGAAAATAAGAAACATACAGGCCAGTTATTGACCCGCTACATTCTACTTGAATATGAATCATTTTAATTTTTAATTTTAAAAGGCATAATTTCCACACTATTAGTAGACCTTAATAACAAATAAAGGTAAAATTGTCTTGCAAGCATAAAGCTAACTTTTCTGGGGGAAGTATTCAAATTGCCACTCTATTGTCATTAGAATCACCTTAGAAGTTGTTAAGTAGGTAAACTTTTTCTTTAAAGGGTTAGACAATAAATGTTTCTGTTGCAGTTACTCATCTCTGCGGTTGTAGTGTGAAAGTGCTGATATGCAATACCTAAACGAATGGCTTGTGTTCCAATAAAACTTTATTTAAAAAAGCAGGTGGTGAGCTGGATTTGGTCTGTGGGCAAGGTCTGCTGATGTGTGACTTAGAGCAAGACAAAGATATGTGGGATATACAGAATCCAAAAACATGTCATGTAAATACCTATAAGACTTAGTGGCTCTGCAGTTAGAAAAAATATGAGACGTTTTCATAATAAAAATATGCTGAAGCCAATCTGATGAAGCATGCTTGTAGAGAGACTGTAGAATCAAATCACAATTAAAAAATCAAGTCCCGGGGCTCCCCTGGTGGCACAGTGGTTGAGGGTCCGCCTGCCGATGCAGGGGACGCAGGTTCGTGCCCCGGTCCAGGAGGATCCCGCATGCCGCGGAGCGGCTGGGTCCCTGGGCCGTGGCCGCCAGGCCTGCGCGTCTGGAGCCTGTGCTCCGCGGCAGGAGGGGCCGCAGCGGTGAGAGGTCCGCATACCGCAAAGAAAAAAAAAAAAAAATCAAGTCCCATGTTACTTGAATCTTGGAGACAAGGGTAGAGTTAGCAACCAATTTGCCTGCCATCTCTGGCATGTATTGTGTGTCCATTTATTTGTGGCTGTGTTCCTAGATTTTCTATTCTGCTTTATTGCTCGAATTTACCTATTCTTATGCTAATATTATTATAAAGCATAAAGGTTAAGATAATTTGTATTGATTTCAAGTAAAACAGCCTTCCTACCTCGTTCTTCTTCAAGAATGTCAGGACTAGAGTGAGATCTTTGCATTTCCATAAAATTTTTGAATCAGCTTATTAAACCTCCATAAAACAACTTGCTAGGAGTCTGACAGAAACTGCACAGTATCAATAAACCATTTTGGGGAAAACTGACATCTTTACAATACCAAGTTTCCCAAACATGATACGATACATATATCCATTTGTTTAGGTCTTCTTTATAATGTCTCCTAAAGGCATGCACAATTTTTGCTAAATTTGCTTCTAGGTACTCCACAGTTTGGGTACTACTAAAAATGCTGTTATTCTTTAGAATTTCTATCTGATTATTTGTTACTGGTATAAAGGAATAAAACTGATATTTGACATAAGACTTGCATGTTACAGAGCTCTCTTATTATCTTTATTTATCTCCAATAAAATTATCTGTAGATTTTGTATTTTCTAGGTATAAAATCTGCAAATAATGAAAACTTTGTTTCTTCTTTTGCAATCTCTTACTTTTTGCTTTATTTTTTGTTGCCTTACTGTCCTTGAATTTCCAGTACAATGCTGAATAGAAGTGGTAATGGCATACATGCCTGTCTTTTTCTTGATCACAAAAGGAAAGCTTTCAATGTTCAGATTTCTTTATGATATTTGTTTTTGTTTTTCAAGACACTCTTTAGTAGATTAAAGTCGCTACCTTGTTTCTCCAAAGAAGATATACAGGTTGCCAAGAAACACATGAAAGGATGCTTAACATCACTATCGTTAGAGAAATGCAAATCAAAACTACAATGAGGTATCACCTCACACCAGTCAGAATGGCCATCATCAAAAAATCTACAAACAATAAATGCTGGAGAGGGTGGGGAGAAAAGGGAACCCTCTTGCACTGCTGGTGGGAATGTAAATTGATACAGTCACTATGGAGAACAGTATGGAGGTTCCTTAGAAAACTAAAAATAGTACTATCATATGACCCAGCAATCCCACTACTGGGCATATACCCTGAGAAAACCGTAATTCAAAAAGAGTCATGTACCACAATGGTCATTGCAGCTCTATTTACAATAGCCAGGACATGGAAGCAACTTAAGTGTCCATCGACAGATGAATGGATAAAGAAGATGTGGCACATATATACCATGGAATATTACTCAGCCATAAAAAGAAACGAAACTGTTATTTGTAGTGAGGTGGATGGACCTAGAATCTGTCATGCAGAGTGAAGTAAGTCAGAAAGAGAAAAACAAATACTGTATGCTAATACACCTATATGGAATCTAAAAAAAAAAAAAGGTTCTCAAGAACCTAGAGGAGGACAGGAATAAAGATGCAGACGTAGAGAATGGACTTGAGGACATGGGGAGGGGGAAGGGTAAGCTGGGACGAAGTGACAGAGTGGCATGGACATATATACACTACCAAATGTAAAACAGATAGCTAGTGGGAAGCAGCTGCATAGCACAGGGAGATCAGCTCGGTGCTTTGTGTCCACCTAGTGGGGTGGGATAGGGAGGGTGGGAGGGAGACACAAGAGGAAGGAGATATGGGGATATATGTATACATATAGCTGATTCACTTTGTGAATAGCAGAAACTAACACAACATTGTAAAGCAATTATACTCCAATAAAAATATTAAAAAAATACAACACAAAACAAAAAATAAGTGGAGAAAAACGACGATTATATTATAAAAAAAAATGACTGTTTTCTGTATCCTTCCGTTTATCTGTTAATGTAGTGAATTACACTAATTGTTTAAGGGAACATAAAGTAATTAAGTTTGTAAATGAGAGCAGTCATTAATCAAAGGCACTCATGAAAGCAAGTTAAAATTTACCAAATTTATAAGTTTTTGAAAAGACAATGTATAAAGTTAAATTTAAAAGCTTGAAAAAATACTAGGTGTTTGAATTGGTAACTTAAAAAAATATTAGTTTTAAACCAAACTTAACACAAAGAGAATTTTTTGCACAAAAATTACCACAGGCATGATACGAGTACTCGTGTGTGCTCGAGATCTCTCACACAACACTGTCCAATAATGACAAATATATATGGCATACAATGATTAAAACGAATTTCTAACTTCCCCCCAAAATATCTGATGAAGCAAAGAAAAAATATAGCATGGCTTCACTGTAGTACAGTATTTAAGAACATAGATTCTGTTAACAAAGTTGTGACGTGAAGCTATGAGAACTTTAGGCAAGTTACTTCAACACTCTATGTCAAATTTTCTCACGTGCTTAGCTGTACTGAAATGAAAGATTACTGAATTAAACAATTCCTCAATCTACAGTTCAACCTCTCAAAAGGCACATTACCTCATACTCCTCCAAGTTTACTTCTTCAGGTTTTATCATTTCAATTTTGGCTTGAGCAACTTTCATTATGTTGTGACACCTTCAAATAAAAGAAAGGTATTTCTAAATCAAAAGCAAACTCCGTAAAAACTGAAAAACATGTGTCATACAAAACTAGACTACCCAACACATATGAAAATGAAATCCACTATCACTGAGTAATATTTTTTTGAGGAAACAACTTTCAAATACTTAAGTGAAAAATGTGTTTTTTGGACAATACCAGATAGTAACAAAATATATAAAGAAGACAGAAGCAATAATTCTAATTCAAATTTACCATGTTATATTTATTGATACATATGGCTTTTAAATTATATTCTATTAATAAAGATGGAATATGTAAAAAAAATTTAAAAATTTATAATGTATTATTAAGTAAGCTCCAGAGACATGAAATCTTATTTTCCCCCAAATGGTATTATTCATAAATAGTAAAAAGGAATCCAAAATGTGCCTATCATTTCAGGTAGGAATGGAAACATTTCAATAGATTTTATGATCAGAACCATTGCTAAAAAATCTCTCCAAAATATATTTAGTTATCACACACATTTTACTCTGGATTTCAAGCACAAGAGAAATTAGATTTCTTAAAACAAACTATTTTTAGTTGCCAGGGCAAATAACTGCAAAAGACTGAAAAATCAACGTGAGTACTCCATAAGTATCTTCCCCAAATTCAATAGCATATACTCATTGGAACATAGTACACTGACAGTCCAGATAATGAGGGTTATAGCTTCTGAGCTCTTCACAGTTATATGTAACAAAATAAGTGATGCCAACCTTACTACTAATAAAAATATTAATAGCCAATACTCACTGAGCATTTACTGTCTACCAGATAATGCTCAAAACCATTTACCTGTATTATTTCACTTAATCCTAAATTTCACAGCAGACACATGGTGAGGCAGAAATTAAACCTGGATGCTTTGTTTTCCCTCATACTCTTCTCTACTCACATATTTTTAATTCACTATTTTTGAGACATTCATGAAAGGATAATCATTTACTTCAGAATTAAAATGTGTTTACAATGAACTCCAAGATAGTATAAATGTTTCTGTATTCTAAAATAACTTTTCAGTACTTTGGATCTTTACCTAAGGCCTAAATTTTTTTAAATAGTATTCATTCTAACTAGATTAAATTTAAATTTTTAACATTAGTAAATAGTTTTATAGGAGTTTCTAAGAGAAAACAGTTTTTGGTAAACCAAAATTAATTTAACCATTCTAAGCCTTCTCTTTATGTCAGGAGATGTTTAATTACTTTATTTGTACATATAATTACTTTTCTCCAGTGGTTCTCACGCAAGGGTGATTTTGCTCCCTCAGGGGATATTTGGCAGTATTTGGAGACAGTATGGGTTGTCACCAGTTGGAGAGTACTACTGGCATTTTGGGTAGAGGCCAGGAACATTACTAAATATCCTACAAATTACAGGACAGCCCCCTCAAAAACAAAAAATTATTTGGCCCCAAATATCCATAGTGGAGAGGCTGAGAAATTCAAATATTAAGTCCCAAAAGGGCAGTGATAATTATATTATACTCTTCTGTGTATCTTTACATTGCCTAGCTCAGTACCTTAGTTCACAATTAAAATGTACTAAAGCGATCTAAATTATTTTTACTTCAAACTTTTAAAGGTCATGATTATAAATCTCAAATAAATTACAAAGCAATTGTTCACATTAAGTGAAGTCAAATTTTGTACTGCATTTATTGAAATATGTCTGTGTATGTGTAAAATAAACATTCAAAAATTGCACTGGGAACTATAAAAAAGACAAGGACAATTTGAGCATACGAATAAGATATTAAACATTTTCAAATTACCTTTCATCAAAACTCAAATTTCTATCTCCAAATTGTTCTAGCAATGTTTTCTCAATGATTTTCTTTGGAGCCTGATTCTGGATAAAGTAGACTACTACATGATGTAAACGATAGTCTGTTTCTGGTGGGGTATCTTCTTGGGCCAATTTAACCAACCTTGAATATTCCAACTTAATTGCCTAGAAAATACAAGACAATGTCAATCTTGGTTAATTATAATAATTAAAATCTTTCAATATTATAACTTAATTATCCTTATAGTGAAATATGCTTTTTTCCTTTTAAAATATTACAAATAAGGTAGTAGTACATCTAAGCATATTGTCCCATGTTCCATAGTTTAAATACATCTTAAGCTTACCATGTGAGTAACTTCGTAAAACTTAGCAGAGCCTGGTCAAAGTCTATTCAGAGGCATAAGACAGAGATACTAGGTATACCACCTAACCTACGCTCAGTTTGATGTACCCCTCTAATGTTTCAAATTCTAGGGCTGAACTGCAGTTCCCTAGAATACCCATATCTGAAAGAAAATGGCTGGCTCTTAAATGCATAACATCACCACAATTAACTTCAACTGCAGAGCTGACAAATAAGGGATGAAAAGCAAGTTTTTTATTTACCATAAAATAAAATTTTCATTGTTTCAAAAATATTTGAATTTTATCAGTGTAATGATTATTAATGCATAATATCACTATTACTACCTTGATACGTGAGCTTACTTTTTCTTTACAAACACCTTAGAATTCATATTATAATGGGAAACAATAAATACTAATGCATGTTCCCACACATAAGCAAATGATTTGAAAAATATCTGCTCATAAAGAAATGTGTACAGTTATATATAAAATACTACTATAAATAAGAAGCCCATATAGTTAAACATAACACTTTAAAAATATTCATTTATATTAGACACATCTAAATTCTAACTCTGCTAACCATAAAACATTTGGGGCTACATGCAAAATATACTTTACAAAAAGTCCATTCTACTGGAAAGGGTTTTTCTCTTTTCTTTTAAATGCATGCCTTTCTTAAGCAATTCTTGGCCATCCAGAAACTACCACCTATGGGGCTGTATCTTATAGAATTGAGAAAACGTAACTGAAAAACAGTAAATGAAATATTCTAGTTATATATTCTTAGGGGAGCTAATAAGTCCTTTCTATTGATATATAGCTTAGCATCATAAATAGAGTAAGATAATTACTCTATAGCTAAAATAAATTATTCCAATTTTATTTTCAATATACATGTCATTCTAAAGTGTTACTGCTGTGGTTAAAAACAGCCATGAAAATTAACTATATTTAGTCATGTAAGACTATCATGGCTCACTTTACTGCATGTTTTGCTTATAAACTCTTTAATCTTCCCAATTTGAGATTAAAAATGTTTCCAATTTGAAACAAAGGCACATGATCATTTAATAACTGAACTATACGGAATTTGAGAATAAGTGTAAAAGAAAAACAAATAACTGTTCTTCCTTATTATGGCCCTTAGACAATGATTGCCATAGGCTATTAGAAGGTTTTTGGATATTTAAGTATTTCAGATGTCATCCTTTTGGCCGAAATTAGTATGACCAGAATAAAATAAATTTGTCTCTTAAATAATATTATAGGTTTAGACATAAGGAATTACAACACTAAATGATTATCCATTCCCCCCCGCCGCCTTCAAAACACAGGCTGTGATTTTTTTTATAAATAGTAAATAGATTTCTATTAGAGCTAGAATATACATCGCCTTTAACTCTACGATTATGTTTATCTCTTGATTTTTCTCTATTTAAGATTCTCCCAATTTTAATGAGTAAATGCCAAAGTTATAATCTATAAGTGTTTTATTAAACCAGTAGAGGTAGAAAGGTACTTCTAAATAGGAGCAATTTTTCAACCACAAAATACCACATTTTATCAGCATAAATTAATTTATCAACTATTTTTTTTGTTTATGAACTTCCTTCTCAAGAAATTTCCTGACTTCTACAGTATACTGCAACCATACATATTCCTTCAGAGTTTCAACAAGGTGTTCCACACTGGTATATTTAGGAGAGCTGTACACAATCTACTGTTAACATTTAACATGGTCCTACTAATCAGGCTCAGTGTTAACCTATTTAGCTTTATTTCCTGTTACTCTTCTACCCAGATCAGGTTCGACTCCGCACAAATGCACACGTGTTTGCTCCTTAAGTTCTCTACATGCATGATGTCCTTGATCATTCCCCATCTAGCCACACATGACTCATTCAATGAGACTAGTTAAAGTCTCTCTCTTTTGAAATCTTCTTCCAAACGATTTCTACTTAGACTTTTTTCGACTTTTCTAAATCATACGATAAAACATATTCTAAATTTATAACTTCTTACAGACTATTTTGATGTAAGTATATGTATACACTAGAAAATGTCAAAAATACAAACATACAGTATACTCTGGAGGCAGTAAGATCTAAGGGAAAATCAGCTGGAGTAAAATTCAGAAAGCTAGGTATATCATTTTATTTTTAAAATTGTTTATTTTAAAAACTGATAGTGTACTACGAGATGAAGAAAAACTACTTCAAATTCCAGAGGGTCAGAATCATATAGGTTATATTCTTTGAGCACAATGTAATATAAATAGGAATTAAAAATAAAGATAATTCCCAAATTAAACACTTAGGAATTTTAAAATACTGTTCTAAATTATTCTTGGACCAAAGGAATCAAAATTATATTAATACTGGGAATATGAGATCTCAAAACCTAAAGGACACAGCCAGATTGGTAAAGGAAAATTCCAGCTTAAGCAATACAGAATAACATTTACTTCAAGAAGCTAGAAAAAGAAAATAAACCAAAATAAAGTAGAAGAAATTAAATAATGTGGCAATTAGATAAAGACCACCAAAGGCTTTTTCTTTCCAAAAAGCTGAATGGAAGACCAAAAAATGGAGAAATCAACAGCAGAAATAAGGAAGGTGGTAATACCAAAAATACAGGAAAAAGTTTTAAAATCTATAAAAGAATAATACATAACTTTATGCCAATAAACTATAACATCTTCATTAAACAGATGATCATCTAGGAAACTATAAGTTATCAGAATTACTTTAAGAGGCAGAAAAACTGAAGAGATGCAGAGAAAATATAGATAATTGAAAAGGTTGCCTAAGATCTATGCCCAATAAAGAAATCAGGCCCATTCTGTTTCAGAGCTGTGCTGTCATGTCAGATCTTCAAAGACAAGATGATTCCTATATCTAAACTGCTCTGAACCTGAAAAAGGGGAAAGCCTCCTTAATGATTATATACAACTAGTATAATCTGATATCAAAAATTGACAAATATTTTTTAAAAAAGGAAGTATAGATCAATTTTGTCAGTAAACATAGATGCCAAGACCCACATCTTAGGGGAGCTTGTGTACATAAAGAATATATAGGAACAGATAGTGTTTACAATGATTAAAAAAAAGATAGACGAATGCTAAGATCCTTACTTTGCAAGGATTAAGGAGAAATCTGTTCAGCATCTCAAATAGATGCATTAAAAAATTATCTAAATTCCAATACCAGCCAGTTTAAAAGAAAACTCTTAACTGTAAATTTAAGAAAGTGCTTTTAAATTTATGAGAGGAGCTGTAAAAATCCAATACTACACATTCTATTTAATAATAAAACACTAGAAACATTCACATTACACTCAGGAACTAAACAAAGGAGTTTACTACCATTATTTTGTTATTTATATTCTGAAAAGGCTGGTCAACATAATAAAACCAGAAATAAGAAATAAGTATAATGGAAATTATCCCAATAATGAGATAGTTATTGGGAGGCAGTTTACTGAAATAATCAAAAGAATCAACCAAAAAATTATTAGAAAATATAAAGGGTTCAATAAAATAATTGGATACAATATAAATACATGAAAGTAATTAGTTTTTCCACTACCTACCCTACCAATAATTTGGTATTAAAAGTGAGGATAAACAACTCAATTCACAGAAATAATTTTTATATATCTAAGATTAGATTAAAAAAGAAGGTATAAGACCATTATGAAGTAAAATTATAAAACCTTACTTAAGGACATAAGAGAGGACCAAAAAACTGAAGATTCATATCATGTTCCTTTCTGAGAAGACTAAAAATACTGAAAAATATAATTATCCACCTCACTGTAACTTAATATAATGCAAGTACAATCAAATTCTGAACGGATTTAAGGAGACAAGTTGCAGTTGGTTAAAAATTATCAAAAAAGAAAAAATGAAACTTGCCAAACTTTCCATTTATAAAAGAAAAAAAATTAAGAGGTGTTTCTACTACAAAATATATTACAAATAAATGGTCCATAATGTAAATAAGTGTAATGTTCAACAACAGAAAAATGACCAATGGAACAGAGAGACCCAAAGAGACCCATTTATAAATGGGATTTAATATACAATACAGTATTTTAAGTCAGTGTGCAAAGAATGCATTAGTCAAAGTGTTATTAGTCATGATACGTTTGGATTTTTTGGATATTTCTCTATTTGGAGAAAACTGAAATCTCATATCTGGGAATCAAACAATAAAAATCATTAAAGTAACAAAGATTTGCATAATTTTAGAAGTGATCATATAGTCTCGAATCCATTAAGGAAATATTGCTATATTTTATAAGATTAAAAACATTATGTACAGTTAAGACACCAAAAACAAATTTAAAGATAAATGACAAACCACAAAATACAATTTTCAAATTATAGATGAATCAAATTTCTTAGCAGATCAGATGCTCATTTAAGTTAAAAAAAAGATAAAAACAAAAAAAGTGTGCAAAAAATGGACAGGCAGTTAACATAAGAAATACCAACTGCCAAAAAATTTACAGAAAGATACTTAGCCTAACTAAAGATCAAAGATACATAAAATAATGGGATTACCCTTTTTATATCATTTTGTCAGCTAAGCATCAATGACAGTACATTGGAAGTTCTACTACGCTATGTTCACATGAGTTTTCAAATGATGTATGTACAAGAATGTTCACAAAAATACTGGAAATGACCTAAACCAGCAACAAAAACGGTAATGATGAATTTAATAAAAGTTACAATTTGTGAGTGTTCTTTATGTGACACTGACACTTTATGTGATAGACACTGTCCAATGATGTCTACATGG